CAAATAGAATTCAGTTTTGGACTGGATGTGGTGGCTCATGCCTGTAATATCTGTACTTTGGGAGGCTGAGATGGGAAGGTCATTTGAGCCCAGGAGTTCGAGACCAGCCTGGGCAATATTGTGAGACCACATCTCTACAAAGAGTTCGAGACCAGCCTGGGCAGCATAGTGAGACCGTGTCTCCACAAAAAATCAAAAAATTAGCCAGGCATGATAGTTTATACCTGTAATCCCAGCACTTTGGAAGGTGGAGTTGAAAGGATTGCCTGAGCCCATGGGTTTGAGACCAGCCTGGGCAGCATGCTCATCTCTACAATAAATCAAAAATATTATCCTGGCATTGTGGCGCATGACTGAAGTTCCTGCTACTTGGAAGACTGAGGCAGAAGGATTGCCTGAGCCTTGCAGTTCGAGACTGCGGTGGCTGTGAGTGTTTCACTGTACTCCAGCCTGGATGACAGTGAGATTCCAACTCAAAAAAAAAAAATCAAAAGGTTAACTAGGCATGGCGACATGCATCTGTAGTCCCAGCACTTTGGGTGGCCAAGGTGGGAGGATTGCCTGAGGCCAGGAGTTCAAGACCAACCTAGACAACATAGCAAGACCTTGTCTCTACAAAAAATAAAAGATAGCCGGGCTCAGTGGCTCAGCCCGTAATCCCGTGCCTTTGGGAGACTGAGGTGAGTGAATTGCCTGAGCCCAGGGGTTCGAGACCCGCCTGGGCAGCGAGACCTCATCTCTACAATAAATCAAAAAATTAGCCAGGTGTGGTAGCGCGCGCCTGTAGTTCCAGCTACTTGGAAGGCTGAGGCGGAAGGATCACTGGAGCCCAGCAGGTCGAGGCTGCGGTGGCCGGGAGCGGCCACTGTACTCCAGTCTGGGCGACAGAGTGAGACTCCAACTCAAAAAAAAAAGATTAGCTGGGCATGGTGGTGTGTGCCTCTCGTCCCAAGTGTTCAGGAGACTGAGGTAGGAAGATCGCCTGAGCCCAAGAGGTTGAGGTTGTAGTGAGCTGTGATTATGCTACTGCACTCCAGCCTGAGTAACAGACCCTGCCTCAAAAAAAAAGCAAATTTAGGGCAAGGCACAGTGGCTCGTGCCTATAATCCCAGAACTTTGAGAGGCCAAGGCAGAAGGGTCACTTGAGGCCAGGCATTTATGACCAGCCTGGGCAATATAGCAAGACCTTGTCTCTACAGAAAAACAAAAATAAATTAGCTGGGTATAGTGGTACATGCCCAGGAGACTTAGGTGGTGGGAGGATCACCTAAGCCCAGAAGTTCAAGGCTGCAGTGAGCTGTGATCATGTCAGTGTACTCCAGCTTGGGTGACTGAGTGGAACCCTGTCTCTAAATAATTCCGTTTCATCTCGGGCATAAACCCCTTCCATTTGAAAAGGAGCTGTGTTATCCTTTGGCTTATAAGTTGGTTATAAGTTGGCTTTGGAGACCCCACTTATGGCCAGCAAACGGCCTTCCAAACATATTTGCCATTTGTATTTTGAGACAGGGTCTTACTCTGTCACCCAGGCTGGGGTACAGTGGTGACCATAGCCACCTGAACTCCTGGGCTCAAACTGTCTTCCCTCCTTAGCCTCCTGAGTAGCTAGAACTACAGGCATGCACTACCACACTTGGCTAACTTTTTAATTATCTCATAAAGACAAGGTCTTGCTATGTTGTCTAGGCTGATCTTAACTCCTGGCTTCAAGCAGTCTTCCTGCCTCAGCCTCCCAACGCACTGGGACTGCAGGCCATTACTTTAGTCCATATTTGCCTTTTAAAAGTCCTGTTCTCAGCAGGCCTTCTCAGGGTCCAAGATGATGGGAAGAGAGCTGTACTTTTTTTTTTTAAGTTCACCCTGACAGCATGTTAGAATATGAATTGGAAGAGGCTGAGGTAGGAGATCACTTGAGCATAGGAGGTTGAGACTGCAGTGAGCTAGGATAATGCCACTACACTCTAGCCTGGGTGACAGAGTGAGACCCTTCTCTCCAAAAAAAAATAAAAGAATTGGAAACAGACAAGAGTTTATCTGAGGACTAAGTTAGAGGGCCCTTACAGCAGTTGAGAGGTGATACTTGCCTGAAACAGGTATCTGGACTTTTGAAGGAAAAGATCTTCTCTAGGATGACTCCACTGATCCTGGGTAGATGCAAGTGCCATCCCTGGGATAGGAGCTGCTGGAAGTAGAATACTTCGGGGGGGGTGGGACACGCTGTGAGTGCTGTGAGGGGCTCATTCCATGTGTGATTCCTGTGGAGTATTCTTGAGAATGGTCAGCAAGGCCAGTGTGTGGACGGGTCTGAGCACAGGAGAGGTGTTGCCATAGGCAGAGAGAACAGCACCAGAGCTGGCTGCCTGCCTTTATCAGCTCCCACCTAAGGGGAGCACTTTATTTATTTATTTTTTTGAGTTGGAGTCTCACTCTGTCGCCCAGACTGGAGTGCA